ACCGCAAAACTGAGGCTCATGGAAATTAAATACAACCCTATCTTTTGTTCTTTCAAAATTTAATAATTATATGCAGTATACTTTGCTCATATCACCACTCACTCCTTTCTTCCAGCTCCTGCAATCACACCTCTACCCCAACTTTATGCCTCCCTTTTTAAATTTACTCTTAAAAACCAAATTAGTTTGTTTTAATCCAATTAGTGCTGCCAACATGCATATGGGTCTGGTTTTATACAATGGAAGACCTGCAGACTACCAGTGGTCATACCCCTAAAGAAAATTGCCCCTCCCCCAGCAGCCAACAACTCCTCAGGTATGGTTGGGGCATTAGGGTCATTTCTCTTTCTGTGCTGGAATTTCAGGGGCTTCATCTTGTGCAGGTCTTGTACAGTTACCACAGGTGCTATGAATTCACCAGTGCATCTCTGCTGAGTCCAGAAGAGAGCATATTTCACAGCTCTCCTCCCCATCCTCCAGCTCTTGCATTCTTTCCTTCTGTTCTCTCAGGATGCTCACTGAGCTCTGAGAGAGAGGATGTAGATGTCCTATGCACAGCTGAACATTCACAGTTGGCTCTGTTCTATGCTTTGCTCAGTCATGAGTCTCTGCATTAACCTCTACCCTCTCTAACAAGAAGCTGCTCAGACTAAGATTGGAAGCAGCACGAATCTATGTATATGAATACAAATATTTAGAAGGAAATTTGACAATATGTCCATTTAGAATAATATCAGTAGGTTCACTCTTAGGGCCATGGCTATTAGCAATGTTTATTGGTCATATTTACGGTAGCCAGGAAAAGGCAAACACGGTTCTCAAAACCCACACCTATACTAGGTGTCTAAATTTTCTGTCTTTACCCCACTCCACTACCTTTCACTGATGATAATAAGAACCATCATTTGATGGGGCCCACCCTGTCATAATGTGGTATTTTTCAATATTTAAGAAATACAATTCCTATCTTAGTTATTTTTCTACTGTCACGATAAAACACCATGACCAAGGCCACTTGTAGAAGAAAGGGTTTATGTGGGGCTTCCCTACAGCAGGCGGTCAGGCATGGTGCTGAAGCAGTAGCTGGGAGTTTACATGCTGAGACAAGAACCACTAGCTAGAGAGAGCTCATCAGGAATGCCATAAGTTTTTGAAACCTCAAAGCCTGCCCCCAGTGACATACCTCCTCCAACAAGGCCACACCTCCTAATCCTTCCCAAATAAATCCACCAATGGGGAACTAAGTATTCAATTATGTTAGTCTATAGGGATCATTCTCATGGTCTATAGAGATCACATTTCCCTAACCCTGAATTTAACACCTGTCACCCTTATGATTTTAAAGATCTTTAAATTTCAGTGAGATTTTTTTCAAGTTGAATTTAAACTTCTCTTCTCTTTCCTTATAAATAAACATTAAAGTTTGTAATAATGATGTCAATCAAAGCACTTGGAATTGTGTGTGTGTGCATGCATGTTAACACTTATATGTGAGTGTATATGAGCATGTTCATGCTAGCATATGTGAATGCCCATATACATGCAAGCATGCAGATAAGAGAACAACTTGCCTGTCATTTCTCAGGTGTCATTCATCTTGATTTTGGAAAAAAGTCTCTCACTGGCCTAAAACTTTCCATCTGGTCTGGCTGGCCAGTGAACCCCAGGGATCTGCCTGTCTCTGACTTCCTAGCTCTAGGATCATATGCAGGGGCCATATGCCCAGATTCTCTAAGATGCATATGTATGTGTGCATGTGTACAAGGTAAGCATAAACCATAGCACCCATAGTAAGGTCACAGGAAAAGCTTGGTATTAGTTCTTGCCTTCCACATTGTAGTGGGGTCTCTTTTATGGTAAACCACACTCATGCCAGGCTATCTGGTCCATTAGCTTCAGGGGAGCCTGCTGTCTCTACTTTCCACCTTGCCTTAGGAACATTGAAGTCACAAATGCATGTGATTGTGTAAAATTTACATTTGTTAAGGCAAGCTTTGTGAGGCACATGCTTTATTCATTGGTCCATCTCCCTAGGATATGTTCAACTTTTGGGTCTTAGTGACTGAATACCTTCACACTTGTAAGGCAAACACCTAACCAGCTCAATTATTCCCGAGCACTCAAAGCATACTCCAACTGTGGCTCTGAGGTGATGGCAACATCTAGAATCTGACCTTCCCTCTCCCACACTCATCAGAAAACTTCAGTCTGGGCCTCAGAGTGATCACAGTACAGGGAAGGCTCTCTTCACTGATGCCTGACAAACAGGCAGTGTGGGAATAAATCTTCACCATTTTAAACTATGTTAGTGCTGGAAACTGGACCTAGGTCCTCTAAAAGGACAGGTCGTTCCCTTAGCATCAGTCCATCTCCTTAGCACCCATTTCCTTAGGTCTTAGAAGCTGGACCAGGTGTCACTATTACAAAATTATCTCTAAATCTAAACATAACTCTTATCTCACTGCTGTTGTCATTATGGCAGCCACTCCTGTCTCTTCCTAGACTCACTCTCCTGGATTCTGCTGCTCAAACCCCACCATCATCACCACCACCAAGTATTCTTTCAGCATGAAATCATATCCAAAGCCTATTTGGTATCAGTGACAGCCAGATTCTCTATCAATGCCTCCATGTTCACATGTCCCAAGAGTCAGATAATTATTGCATATTAATAGTGTGGCACAATTCCTGAGGAGACATGAACACAATTCTACTCATTTCAGATAGGGAACCAACTACAGAGCAAAGTACAGATAGCACCAAAGTTCAACTTGGTGAACCAGTAAGTTTCACTGGTGTTACTTACAGAAGCAGAAATGACTCAAAGGCAGTTGTAGCACTAAAGTCCACCCCAGCATCAATGCCAGATTACAAAAACTGGAAACTTGAAGCACATTACAGGCAGCTCAAAAGGTTGTAGTGTGTCCCTTTCGGGTGGCTCAGGTTGGTCTAAACCTCTTCCAGGCAGCCCAGCTTGTCTAAGAGAATCTCTCAGCAGTTCCACTGGCTTAAGTACTCTTGAGTGCATAAATCTGGTCAGTTTCAGGAACTTCCTGAAATTTTCCAGTTGTTTTATTTCCTGAGTATAACAAGCTTCCTTAAAGCATGGAATGTTTCACTTCCTCTTGGAATATCCTGAGTCCTAAGGAGCTTCCATCCAAGATGGGAGGTTTAATCTCACAGGAACTACTGCACAGCACAAGTTGAAGGACTCACCCTCTCTTCATCACTGGTCAACTCCGCATTCTGAAGCTTGTTTCTGTCTCAGGTCCTGTGCACTTGACATTCCTTTTACGGGGAATATCCTTCCCCTAGCCTTTTAGATCCTGGCCTCAAAGACATATGGTGAAATAAGCCTTCCCCGGCTTCCTTTGCAAAGTATTTATCAACTTTTACTTAGAAACATATAATGTACTAATTTGCTTGTACATTTTCAGGAGCCCTAACAGTAAGAAAAGCTCAATGCATAGAGATATTTACTGACTGTGGGGGTTCATCACATGACTGATCTCAGAATCTCCCAGGAGACACATCTCTAGCCATGCCTATAAAGGGACTCTTTCTGACTGTGGCTACATGTGGTTTCAGTGGACCAACTGCCTCATGCTCCTGCTGCTATGCCTTCCCCACCACAGCAGACTGGTATTGCCTTTCTTCAACTGGGAGTCCTTGCTCCTTTACTTTTCAAATATCACATTTATTTGTTTGCTTGTTTGGTGTGTGTGTGTGTGTGTGTGTGTGTGTGTGTGTGTGTGTGTGTGTGCATGCACATACACATGCATGTATATTGTGTGTGCCATGCACATGTTGGAAATCGGAGGATAACTTGTGAGAATTGGTTCTCTTCTTCCACCCCATGAGTCTCAAAGATTGAGCTCAGGTCACCAGGTTTGATGAAAAGCTTCTTTAGACCTGAGCTATCTCACCAGCCTCAAAAGTCCTTCATTTAAGTTTGCTTCCATCCAGTGTTCTGTGAAAAACAGCAAGAAGAGTGACTAACACACTTATGTTTCCACAAAGCCTAAGACAGCACAGGGCATGAAGTGAACCCAGGACAGAGTTTGCTGAACAAAACAAAATGAATAATGCAGGAGAGGGAAAAAGAGACAGAGACAGAGAAAAGAGAGATGGGGACAGGCAGAAAGACCGAGGGACAAACAGAGACACATATGAGAGACAGAGAGAGAAAGACAGGGACAGAGAAAGACAGACGGGGGGGGGGGCAGACAGACAGAGAAAGGGAGAAAGAGAGACAGAGGGACAAACAGGCAAGAGGGGAGGGGAGAGAAAGAGAGGAGTCGAGTTCAGTTTTCCTAATTTCTAATGATCTGGTCCTGAAATCCACTTGTTTTCTGAACTGCTGAGAGATAGCTAGGAAAGGACAGAACCTAAACGCTGATTTTCAGCCACTGAGATAATCCAAAGCACTGGTCTCACACGTTTCCCGGAGAGCCCTGATTGCCCAAAGGAATAATATAATCTGATTAATCGGTGTATCTTCCACTCTTTGGTCTGACATACAGGGATCAGAGAGCAACAGAGACTCCCGGCTTAGCTGTCAGGTCCCTCAGGCCTTCCTGGGTTTCTCCCCAGAGGTTCACTACTCTGAGGCAGGCCCTGCTGGGAGTATTTGCTCCTCAGGTGGCCCAGTCCACTCAGTGTGAGCTGATTCTCTGGCTGCTTCCAAGTCACAGGGAGGTCCCCACTCTCAGGCTCCCCCCCTCATCACTCACCCCCCCCCCAAGCACACACAAAGCCAGCACACCAACCTGCCTGGCTCTCCCACGGTGCAGCTTAACACACTCATTGGCCTAGAGCCTGTCGGGGGCGGGGCTTGGGTGGTCCTCAAAAGGAATTAGCAGCGTGAGAGGAGAGCCCTGGAGGCTGATGCTCTCATCTGGCTCTCACCCTCTGCTTTCAGGATTGTCCTCCTTCTGGATTAGTTTAGGATAGAGCCTCTGATCAGGGGACACCTGTGGCCTTGGATTTTAACCTCAGTGATGGGAAAACTTGAAAATGCTTCCTGGATCCATGATCCTCTCCTGAAGTACCTGAACAGCACCGAGGAGTACCTGGCTCACCTCTGTGGACCCCGGCGCAGCCACCTCTCCCTCCCTGTGTCTGTGGCCTATGCTCTGATCTTCGTGGTGGGGGTGATGGGCAATCTTCTGGTGTGCCTGGTGATCCTCCGACATCACACCTTGAAGACACCCACCAACTATTACCTCTTCAGTCTGGCAGTCTCAGACCTGCTGGTCCTGCTCTTTGGGATGCCTCTGGAGGTCTATGAGATGTGGCACAATTACCCCTTCCTGTTTGGGCCGGTGGGCTGCTACTTCAAGACCGCCCTCTTCGAGACTGTGTGCTTTGCCTCCATTCTCAGTGTCACCACGGTCAGCATAGAGCGCTATGTGGCCATTATTCACCCGTTCAGAGCCAAGTTGGAGAGCACGCGGCGGCGGGCCCTCAGGATCCTTAGCCTGGTCTGGGGCTTCTCTGTGGTCTTCTCTTTACCAAACACCAGCATCCATGGCATCAAGTTGCAGCACTTTCCTAATGGGTCATCCGTGCCCGGCTCTGCCACCTGCACAGTCACCAAGCCCATGTGGGTGTACAACTTCATTATCCAAGCCACCTCTTTCCTCTTCTACATCCTCCCGATGACCATCATCAGCATCCTCTACTACCTCATGGGGCTCAGAGTGAGTATCCAAGGTGTCTGGCTTGGGGCAGCATCCCTCCCTGTTTTCACCCATTTTGAGTGAGAAATTAAGAAGCAAAAGTTTATATGTAGGTAAAATAGTTTTGTGTGTAAATTCCACACCTGTACTCAGAATATATGTCACAAGTAAAATCAGTTTGATCTCCTTTTGAGCAGGGAGGCAATTGTCAGCAATTAAACAGAATAAAACCCACAATTCTCTGTTATTTTCTTTACCTGGTATCCATCACTATGCGTGTTCACTATGCTTGTTTCAAAGAAAGTGCTAGAAAACTTCCTAGGGGTATCAATATAGATAGCACTCAAGGGGGAATCTGACTCCAAGGGCTTGAGGAGAAGCCTTACTTTGAATGTGCACAGGAAGTGACCTAGGCTTAGAGAGTCACATTCTGGGGGAACCCTTCCTCATCCTGTTGCCTTGTTGCTGACCCCTACTCCATTTTACTGTCTATGTTGAAATTTTTCACTGTGCCAGCTTATCCTGAGGGCATTGTGAGCACTCACTGCTTAGCAGTATGAGACAGATACACAGCTATGGAGGTCAGTATTCCCTTGTCGCTGCACTGACCCTTTAATTGGAATATCAAGTTAAGTCATATGTATGTACATATATATGATTTATCTTTCATATATACTGTACATATATGTCCTTTGAAACCACTTTTGTAGCAGGTAAGGGATTGAGGGATAGCAAAGTAAACAGAACTCATAAGTTAGAACAGTATAAGGCATGATTAAGACACATGTGGGTTTCTGGGAAGATCACTCTGTTTTCCCTGTATCTTACAATTAGAGGTTCCTTCTCTGAGCTTGTGGAAATAAACAACTTTTTCCCATTTTTCTCTGATTCCAAATTAGATGAGAGATGTGTTTTTGAGACATGTAGGAGTGAATCTTTATAGTTCCTACTGCATTCTGTACCCAAATTCATAGATGTGAGACCTCTCTATGATAGTTTTATATTCATTTAAGGAGGTGGTTCATGCATTAACAGTTATGGTATTATTTAGATTCTCAAGTCCTCAGCTGACATATGCCTTTAGGCAAGCTGCACACAATTCTCTTAGAATTGCTTTCCCATTTGGAGAATGAAAAGGTCACATCACATCATTTCTAAGGCTTCTTCTGGCTCTAACAGCCTGTGGTTCTTTTTAAAAAGGCAAGGAAACTATGAGTGGGATAGGCATGAGCTATATATAAGAGAAAGAATTAAACACACACACACACACACACACACACAAACACACACACCACATCCTCTGGCACTATGGCTCCAGATGCAGGATCCCACCCCAGCCCATCTCTAAGGAAGGTGTTTATCAACATAGATGGTATTTTTTAAAAATATTTATTGGTCCAAAATGAGTGATCAGGTTTGAGTCAGAAGAGCATAGACATGTAGGCACAGGAATGAATATGGCCAGAGAGTGGTGACATTTTCTCTAAGATCTATTTCACCCCAGACCAGCTGAGTGCCATTCTGAGTTCCAGAATGTCCTAAGTATCTAATCCAGAGGAAAAGAATTCTGTACATTTCCAAGTACCATGCATCCCATGAAACCTTCCCTCCCCTAGACTTTAGTAACAATGTCATCTGTCCAATGCTAAATAATGTTGAGTCTTGCATGAATTTGGGGAAAATGCCTGTTTAACAGATAACATGGAGTCCTCTAAACTCTTTGTCAGAGTTTTATTTTGTTCCACTATCCTGAATCCACAGTGTCTGTGACCCAAACTATTGGCAGCTCAGATAATAGCCACCCTACTTTGTGTGAGTAATGCAATTGATGACATCCTGTGGCAAAAAAAGATGAAGTAGGAGTGAGTAGACTAGAGGATACCAAGAAAGGAAATCTCTGATTTGTCATTCTGAGAATTTAAACAGCCCTCTATCAGTGCCTGCAAAGCAAATCCTGTTCAGTGCCACAGGTGTCAAAACCTCCAGACCTGTTTCCCTGGAAGGTTCCTGCCCCCACAACCATATTTCTTTTGCCTGTTTTATTATTGTCCACTCTTTCAGCCATGCTTCAAATGGACTTCCTTGAGGAATCTCTCCTAGACCCCTGAGCTTTCCTGCCTCTGTTGTAGATGTCATAACTTCCAGTAATTTCCTTCTCTACAATTTATAATTCCATGTGGACCCTTTAGTTCATTCATTTCTCCCAAACCAGACTAAGTTCAGTCAAGATATGAGGCTAAATTGCTTCCCTTACTACTAAGCTTCATCTCCTCTACATTTAAGACAAAGGACTTGGAAACATTGTCTCAAAGGCCCTTTAAATTTTCAAGATTTAAAGACACCCAAACCCTGAAGGTATTTAAGTTATTGTGTCTGTTGAAAAGTCTAAAGGTTTGATTGAGTGTGGTTGCCACTACCTTCATAAGGCAGCCAAGACAATACTGGTGGAAACACAGGACAAAAGAAGCCCTGTGTATATTCAAAGCTGAACAATCACTGATGCTACCCTGTTCCAGGACATGAATTTCCATAGAGATGCTCTTCAGGCTTAGAATATCATAGAGACAGAAAGTATGTGACCCAAGAGTACCTTCCCAGACATCTAGGAGGAAGTACTGAAAAAGTCTAGCTTAATCCTTATCTCTCTCACACATAACTTTTGTGCAGATGAGGGGACATGTGTAAATTGCATAGAAGTCAATTATGCCTGACAGGCTTCAAAAAAGCAAGATAGTGGATGGATGGACAGATGAACTGATACAGAAGTTGAAAGGCAGTCAAATAAGTACAGATCAGAACAATACACATCTATACATATATTCACACATACACACATATCTACTCAATTGTACACACACACACACACACACACACACACACACACACACACACACCCTAAAATCACCATGAACAGCTAATCAATACAATAACCTCATTTTGGTGTTGTATAGCTGGAGGTGTCAAATAGGCAAGCTTCTAAGCTTCTGAGCCTTGGAGAATCCTATAGCATGACCACAGTGTCTCATTCCTCTTTGTCACTCCCTGAGTGTGAGAGTAGAGTTTATACCATTGATGACTGAATATCTACCCATGCTAAGCACCTGGAATGAAAGTATTTAATATTGAGGCATCATTTAACATTAACTAGACAAATGCCTTAGAATGTTGTGTCAGCCACTGTGAACCCTGATGGGACACTACAATATGCATATATTCAGTCCATATCTTTCCTAAGTTTTGCCATTATAACCCGAAGACACCTCAAGGTGAGCAGTAATTGATAAGTGTTTTTCTTTGGGTACAAACTACAATGGCCAGGAGCCTAGTTCATATAGAGAACTAGGTGGAACGATTGCATGTTGTTTGATTTAAACAAATGTCTTGTGGGAGTACAGTTTTTCCCTGAGAACTATGAAATCCAGCCATGACATAACCAACTTTTAAATATGTTTTCATTGTTAACTATTGGCTACAATCAATTATGAAATAGCCAACAACTGTGTCTTACAATGGTGGCCACAGTTTTACAACCAGAATTAAAATATCATCATCGTCATTTCCATTATTTCTTCTTTATTGAAAATAGATTATTTTCTCATACAATATATCTTGATTACAATTTGCCCTCCCTTTACTTCTCCCAGTTTCTCTCCACCTCCCCTCTCAATCCAATCCACTCCCTTTGAGAGTTCTCTGGTGAGAATTCTCTGTTTAGCTCTGTAAGCCACTTTTCAATTGGGTTATTATATATTTTGATGTTTAGTTTTTTGAGTTCTTTATACATTTTGAAGATAAACCCTCTGTCTGTTGTGGGGTGGGTGAAGATCTTTTCCCATTCTATTGGCTGCTGTTTTGTCTTACCAACAGTGTCCTTTGCCTTACAGAAGCTTTTCAGTTTCAGGAGGTCCCATTTATTGATTGTTGATCTCGGTTTCTGTGCTACCAGTGTTATATTTAGGAAGTGGTCTCCTGTGCCAATGCATTCAAGGTTACTTCCCACTTTCTCTTCTATCTGGTTCAGTGCAAATAGATTTACATTGATGTCATTGATCCACTTGGATTTGAGTTTTGTGCGTGGGAATAGATATGGATCTATTTGCAATCTTCTACATGTTGACATCCATTTATGTCAGTACCATTTGTTAAAGAAGTTTTCCTTTTTCCATTTTGGCTTCTTTGTCAAAAATGAGCTGTTTATAGGTGTGTGGATTAATGTCAGTGTCTTCAATTCGATGCCATTGATCCACCTTTCTCTTTTTATGCAATACCTAGCTGTTTTTTATCACCATAGCTCTATAGAAAAGTTTGCAGTCAGGGATGGTGATGTTTCCAAAAATCCCTGTATTGTAAAAGATTGTTTTAGTTGTTCTGGGGTTTTTGTTTTGTTTTTTTTCCATATGAAGTTGAGTATTGTTCTTTCAAGGTCTGTGAATTATTGTGTTGGGATTTTGATGGGAATTACATTGAATCTGTAGATTGCTTTTGGTAGGATTGCCATTTCCTTTCTGTCTCTCATTACAAAAAAATAACAAGCTGCTAAAGATAACTTCAAAATATAGCAAAATAAAATATAATAAGATAAAACAAAATCCATTACATCGAAGTTGGATAAAGCAAATCAACAAAGAGTCCAGGAAAAGGCAAAATAACAATAATTTACCACTTGTTAAGTACCTCATGCCCTCCTCTGGCATTATTATCATATTAGGAACACATTATCACCTTCAAGCAACCTTCATTTATTTACACAAGTCAGGATTCCCTCAGTTCTTCTCAGGTTCCACATGACTCTAAAAATATCAAATGGCTTTTAATAGCTCACTTCCTGAAAACATAGACATTATGTAGAGATCACTACTAAGTCCAAGAGACAAGCAGACATAGTAACACACAGGTGGGTGCCTGGAGCCCATGTGTTCCTGTGGACTGCTTGATTTTAAGGAGTGTGTATATTGTAGAGACAGAATATGGATTTGTGACACTCTCAAGTTGAACTTAATGGGCCACTCTTCTAAGTTATCCAACTTTAAAGACTTTCTCTAAAGTATTCTCTCATGATAATTTACATCTCCAAAAGCTCACTGTTCCTTAGTCTGTTCATCATCACACACATCCCACACAATTTTCTTTTACCTTGAACTTGAAAATGTCTCCTTATATCTTAGTGGGTTGGTTCGAATGGAGCTTCAGACGGTGTAGAACAATTTGACTTTTCCTTCCACTGGATGACCTCAGTTTATCTGTCAGAACCCATGTCACCACCAGTGAAAGAATATAGTTCGACTGTTGGCACATGAACAGGGGTTGGGGGAGAGACATGAAAATCCACAAAACAGACATAGCTCTCAGTGAAGGTTTGTTCGGGAAAACACACACAGTTGTCAAACACCCAGCCTCTTTTCTGGCTCTTTGCTCTGCTTTCTAGGAAGTTTAAAGCCTGAACACAGCAGCACTGTGATTGCTTTTCTCATGGTGCCACACAAGCGGCCTCTGTAATTCCTACCTCTGATGCATTGAAGAAGGGGTCCCTTCCATTCCCAAGAATACAGAAGCCACTACATGAAACCCCCTGGCTTCAGTTATCTAACTACTGGGATGGGGAGATGGGACAGTCTAATCTGCTAGGTTATTTGATGATTGGAACAGGAGTTGGAGCTAACTCAGCTTAATCTTCCCTGCCATCTTGATTAGATTTGGAATCACCTAGAAGACACACCTCTGGACATCTTTCTGTGGACATTTCCAGAGAAGCATAACTGAGGGAGGAAAACTCACCCTGAATGATGGTAGCAGCACCCCACATGCTGGGGTTCCAGACTGGGGTGCAATGTGACCATCTGTTTAATACTCCTGTCTTATAACCTCTCCTCCCTAATGGAAACCAATACCATGCTGGACTCCCTTTCTCTTACATTCCCTTTTTATTTAGGAATAAAAAAACAATGGGCTAGAGCTGCTGCATCTTCAGCAGTTGGTGGGCCTTAAACAGGCTAGTAGGAATGGCATGTCAGATCATGTTGATATTCCAAACTTACATTACTACACAATCACACTATATCCCTATTACTGTTAAACATGTGTCAATGTTTACATTCTGAAGGATGTGCAGTTCTAGTAGTAGAATAAAAAAACAGCATGTCCTAAATTATGCTTGTAGTACAGTGTCAGGGAATCTGCTGAAAGGAGCTGGGAACTTACTACTGAAAGAAATGTGACTCCTCTTTCAACTGAGATGAGCATGGGAGATACGAATGTGGAAACTGAGGAAAGGGATACACCAACCCCCGAAAGATCCACATTGCTCATGAGTACATTCAAGATGCTGAGAGTCCCACAACATGGTGGTTTGAATTTGAATGCCCCCCATATGCCCACATATTTGCATGCCTTGTTCCCAGTTAATGAACTGTTTGGAAGCATTAGCAGGTGTGACCTTTGAGGTTTCAGATGTCCACATCAGGCCCAGTGTAGCTCTTTCTCTTTGCCTGCTGCCTTTGGATCAGGGATAAATCTTTCAGCTACTGCTCTAGCACTATGCCTTCCTGCTTGCCACCATATTTCCCACCATGCTGATCATGGACTAACCCTCTGAAACTGTAAGCAAGCCCCCAATTAATTGCTTTCTGTTTCTAAGTATTGCCTTAGCCATGGTGACAGCAATAGAGCAGTAACTAAGACACACAACAGATACCATAACATCCCATAATATTTTCTTTTTCTGAAATCTCCTATCACATGGAACAGAGTCTTGACTCTAATGTGTCTAACAAAATGAAAGAACTTAAATGAATGGAAGGGCCTAGCTAGCAATTTCAGGATTAACCATTTTAGCTGTGTGTGTGTGTGTGTGTGTGTGTGTGTGTGTGTGTGTGTGATATTAAGACACTATAGTACTAGAACTGTATAGAATCACTTATTAAACACTTGATTTTTCTGTATCTTATCCATAACCCTGCCCAGTTGAGTCAGGGGGCCTAGATGGAATTCTGCCTCCAGTGAAGTATTTAAAAGTTTAAAACCATTTAAGTGCTGTTCTATCCCTCCGAAGTTACTGGTGCAGGGAGCAAGCTTCTCTTCCTTACCACATCTCCACTTCTCTTTCAGCTGAAGAGAGATGAATCTCTTGAGGAAGACAAAGTTTCTATGAACATTCACAGACCCTCCAGAAAATCAGTCACCAAGATGCTGTGTAAGCTGCTCTCTTTGTTTCAGTGTTCGTTCCTTTCTGTTTATAAGAGTGAAGGACTTGTGTTTGGCACTGACGTAATGGTGCTGGCTGAGGCGTTCTTCTTGGTTTCCAGAAAGTTCTATAACTTGCCTGTTTTGTCTCATCTTTGGCTTTGAGCATTCAAAACCTTGTGCTAGGTTATAATTGCCAAGACGCCTTCCAAGTGCTATGAAATAAATCACATTGGCACACTGAGCCTGGCCCCAATCTCTCTGTAAGATGTGGTAGGGATGGGTTCTGAACCTGTTTGTGTTCCAGCATTCTTTAAACATGTGGTACAGGTCATGGTGGATCCTGCACTCACAAATGCTTTCACACACAATGTTTTATAACTCACTTCAGGGGATTGTGAGCTCCCAATGGCCATGTAGAGTCTGTGGATCTTTTTAACTCCAGATTGAAAACAACTAGTCATGAATTCTCCTGGGTAAATTATTCCACCAGGGTCACTGTGTAGCCTTGTATCAAAACATCAACCTGTGGGGAAAAAAAAAAACCAGTAAAAATAGACTTTTTATTGGAAATAAGCAAAGTACTTTTAGAAATCCAGGTGCTGACCAACCTCTCCCAAAAGGATGCTAGAAAAGTCAATGAATCCTTGAGCTGGGGTGATGGACTAGCAGTTAAAGTACCTGCCATGTGAACACTGGGATCAGGTCCCTAGGACCCACATAAATGCTGGTGGGAGTGGCCACCCTCTTATAATTCTACTATTGGAATGTAGAGATGGGGTCCATAGAACAAATAGGCTCAGAAGACTGGCCATATCAGTGAACTCTGGATTTGACTGTGAGATCCTGCCACAGTGAATAAGGTAGATGAGTGACTGAGGACACACACACCCGTACATATACAAACATGCACGCACACACACACACACACACACACACACACACACACAGAGAGAGAGAGAGAGAGAGAGAGAGAGAGAGAGAGAGAGAGAGAGAGAGGAAAATAAAAATAAAAAAACTAAGCAAAGCAACACCAGTCCTCCAGGAGAGACTGATGAGGTATCCGAAACCTCATATACTTTCCAAATCACAACTTACATTCAGAAAGAAAAGAATCCCCAGGCCAATATGCACATAGAGCATGGAAGTGGTGTCCTCTATGAAGGAAAACCAGGAGTCACTGAAGTCGGTGTCTTGATTCTAATAGTTATTTTCTTTGAAGTGTTTTAGCCCCAGGTGGGACTTGGCCTTTGTTGGAAGGAAACAGGGAGTCTTCATTATTTCTCTCCTTCTCCCTTTGATCATGGTCTCATCAATGTTTGCTCATGTTAGCATCTCAGTAACATGCCTGGAGTGAGCTGGGTTTAAATCCAACCTGAGCAATTTAACTGGATTCTGTTTCAAAATAAAAAGTAAAATGAAGACTGAGCTATGGCTCGGTGGTAGACTGCTCACTTGGCATGTGTGAGGCCTTGGGTTCAATTCCCAGGCCTATGGAAAAGGGAAGAAAAGTTATATAACAAAATGTAAAGCATTTCCCTTCATCACTATCAGGAATTATGGCCAGAAGTGGGCAGTAGGTGGACATTTCATTGAGGGGCTAACGTCAGATATTTTGAAAACCTTATTGCACAGGCAGACAGCTTCCCGTTGATGTTAACTCCAGAAGGAAACCAAGGTGCCATTTCCTGTGAAAACCTGGAATGTGCACACACTTCCTCCAAGAATCAACACTGTTTCCAGTTGTCCTGTCTTTGCATCTTCCGGACCCATCCAGGATCAAAAGGATGAAAGAAACTCCTAATGATGTCTAGAGTATTTGTTAGCAACTTTGCAACGCTATGAGAAAATGAAGGAATGAAAGCTGGGGAGATGGGTTGGTTGGTAGAATGCTTGCTGCATAAGCTTGAGTACTTGAGCTTGATCCCCAACCTCTGTAATAAAAACCTTGGCACAGTGGTGTGTGCTTGTAATGCCAGAGCACCCCAGAGCATCCCAGGTGGACACAAGTGGATCCCTGGGGCTTGCTGGCCAGCAGTCTAGCTGTATTGCTGTGTTCAAGATAAAAGTGAGAGACTGTCTAAAACCAAAGGGACAGGCCTCCTGAGATTGACACTTAAAGTTGATTGCTGCACCCCCCTCCTACACACATACACACATACACACACACACACACACACACACACACACACACACACACACACACGCACACACGACACATACAATAAAGAAAAGATTTATCTTGGGCCAAGTAGATTTGGACCTATTGTGAGGCAGACTATCACTGCAAGAAGGTAGGCAGAAGGGAAGAGAGGGAGGGAGGGAAGGAGAAAGAGAGGAAGGGAGAGAGGGAGGGAGAAAGGGGGAGGGAAGATAAAGGGAACATTCTTCTTTACATTATTAGCTGCAGGCATCAAGTCTCTGTGACCAAGCCCTCTGTGACAAGCTTACCTAGGGGCAGATTGCTACCCTCCAGTCTTTTTGGAGCTTTCAGTCACTTAGCCCTTCAGCTTTGGGCCTGTGATGAGGCATACCATCATAATATGGCTTATGGTGGAACAAAACTGTTCACATCACAGCCTATGCACAGAAAGGAGAGAAAGGATAGAGTCCCCATACACCCTTCAGGGCACAGAGAATGTACCCCCTCCATCTAGATTCCACAGGTTCCCACCCACCCCAGACAGCATCATCCACTGGGGACCATGCCTTAAAGGCATGGGGTTCTGGGTAGCTGTTGGAATCAGACACTAAGAACTCACTGAAAACCTGTGACTGTAACTATTACAGCTCCCTAAAACAACCTGACCTAATCATGTATGAGCCTCTAAACGGCTGATAAGAGCATGGTTTGTTTTCTACTGTCAAGTGATTTGGGAACCTTGAAATAGATTTGGTTCTATTTTAAATATTCTAAGGAGAAACGCACATGAAATCTTAAGGAGAAGTCATAGTGGTTAAGAGCCTTTGATGCTCTCGCAGAGGACCCATGTTCAGTTCCAAGCACCCACACTGGGCAGCTCACAACCTCCTATAAAGCCCTTTCCTGTCTCTGCAGGCACTACAGACATGTCATGGCACAAAGAGATAAGCAAGGCACACACACTTGTACATAAGTAAAAATAAAGGTATTTTTTAAGAATAAGAAATTAATCAGTCAATTCTGGGCCCAGTGAGATGGCCAGAGGGCAAAGGCACTTGCTGCCAAACCTGAGTTTGATCTCCAGGACCCAGTAGAAGGAAAGAACTGATTTCAAGAAGTTCTCTGACTTTCACATGTGTGTTGTGGCATGTGTATGTGTGTGGTGTGCACACACATACACCAATAGTTGTAACTGGACTTAGTGGGTTCCCAACCAAAAAAAAAAGACATTAAGTTGAAGTGGGGGTATGTTGAGGGACATGGAAGGAGTTGAACTGGAAAAATAAGGGGTAAAAATGGTGATATCTAATTGTATGTGCATTTATGAAAATTTCAAAAACAGAAAAATTTCAAGTAAAAAAATATATAACTTAAACTTAAAAAAAAAGTATGCAAGTGTATAGAAAACTGATCCTAGATCCACACTGTTAGTTCTTATGTTTGAATATTCTTTATCTCTGGGATGTCATTTGCCTGTCATAATCATCACTAAACCAAGGTGGCAGGGAAACCTTGATAAAAAGAAGGAAACCGTTGAGAGCAGACATCACATTCCTCCCTGGCCCACTCCATCATTCTGTCTCCTACTTGCTTTTCCAGTTGTCTTGGTCCTCGTGTTTGCAATCTGCTGGACCCCCTTCCATGTGGACCGGCTCTTTTTCAGCTTTGTGGAGGAGTGGACTGAATCCCTGGCTGCTGTGTTCAATCTCATCCACGTGGTATCAGGTAAAGTCTTGGCAGGTTCAGTGACATAACTATGTGGTAGCTTTTCCTTTGCTCTGTCCTGAGGCGGACACCACTAAACAAGCAGCTCACAGGGATCTGGATTTCGGTCATGGAAACAGGGGGAGCTAATTGTATTCAGAGATTTAAAAATGTTTTGAGGTTGCTTTTCAGGAAAATCGCCAACTCCCCATGTGACTGTGATAAATATAGCAGGAGAGTGCTCGGGGATCATCAGCATTTGACAGCAAACTAACACACAGTTGCACAAAGCTGTAAACACAGTGAAAATGGGACTCAAGTCCAAGCCATTGAATTTCAAGTTCAAGGTTTTTTCCATCAACCTAGAGAAACTATGACCATTAGGTTCAGGGCACTTCTGCCCACCTGCTTCTTTTGTCTCTGGCTTATTCTATGGGCTGTGGGATATCAAGGACATAACCAGACAGTGAAGGTTAGATGCAAATTTGAGACTTAGGAACATCACAGCTCAGAACAGAAGGAAGGAGCGGGGAGGAAAGAAGGGAGAGAAAAATTGTACTGCTGACTTTCCTGTATAACACCTCCATTTCTGCCTCTGAACATTTGTAGCCAAATACACACATTCTCTCTCTTCAGCTGTCTCTTATCCATGTCAAGGTATAACTGGTGCCATGTACCTCCACTGAGTGTCTCATGACCACAGTAATTTCTGTTATAGTAGAATAGCTGCTGTTGTTTGAATGTTGGTATCATACATGCTCCTAGGCAGTATCAGGTGTATTCTTGTTAGTAGCTTTGCCTGGGATCATGCCTCTGCTATATTCTTCCATGTAGTTGGAGGTAAAAAAAAAAAAAAAAGTCTAAATCCTCTGCTTTCCAATGTGCTTTGAAGTTCCCAGAATGCCCTAGTAAGCATTTTATCCATGTCCAAATGAACAGATATGTCTCCTCATTCCAGAGGGGACACCAACCATAGACACGAAAAAGGGATTCCATTCAAGTGCAGTTTGTCAAACCAATGAGTCACTGGGGTTACTGACAGGAAAGAGAGCAGTTTATGGGAAGATATATCTATATCTATATATCAGCAATGGTTCGCTGTCTATAAACCCTTGGAGGGGCCCAGCCTCATACGCCTTTCCCATATAACTGTTAACTGTCTAGATCTTTGAGGAAAGGCACGCAAGTCCTTCCCCTGTAATGCAGAGTTAATAGGAACACTGTTGTGTAGTCTCCAATGGTTGATCTCAACTGACAGTTTTAGAGGGCAATGGCCATGACCATGTGTTGCCTGGAGGATGCTATTTCTCAACATGTAGCTTCTACAGAACATCCTGCCCCATTTTCCAGAAGGAGCTGATGTGTCAGTGTTTACCTAAGGGCACAGAACGAAGCCTTAAGCTTCCTTGGTGTCTTAGAGAAACAAAACAGGATGTGATAATAAGAGTGGGTACAAGAGCTAGAGAGATGGCTGTTAAGAGCTCATACTACTCTTACAGAGGACCCTACTTCAGTTCCCAGACCCCATGTCAAGTTTCTTACATGCCTATAACTCCAGTGCCAATGGGTCAGGCACCTTCTTTTGGCCTCTGTTAGTACTAGGGCTCAGGTGCACACACAGAGAGATGGGGAGGGGAAAAGGAGAGATCTGAAGGAAACAGTGCATGTGTGCATGTGTAACAAGCAAAGAAAAGGTAATATGCAGACCGCCTGATGGACAAAATAAATGGTAAAATACAATTACTCAGTGGAAGAGCTACCAAGGGAAGCAGGAGAAGGTGGGGAAGGGACATGGAGGCGGGGGGGGGGGGATGATCTCTCTCCAAGAGGTTTTCAGCAGAATGAGGGATCTCAGCAGGGACCGAGTGTGGCTGATTGACTGATCCTCACCACTATAGCTTCAAATAATAACTTTACCTAAAAATCCAATGAGGAAACAAACCTCTTTTCTCTGATCCTTGAGCATCTCTCATTGGTAACATTACTCAGAACAATGGAAAACCCATGGCTGTTGCATGGCTCTGTCTGATTCCTCAGTGCACAGATGGATCTGCTCACAGCCTTTCATATTCGCAGTGAGAGGCAGTCGCAGGGCTCTCAGGCATTTGCTAAATATTTACACTTTGTCCTACATTGCTGTCCTGTCTTCTTTCAATCCTTCACTTGCAGGTGTCTTCTTCTATCTGAGCTCAGCCGTCAACCCCATTATCTATAACCTCTTGTCGAGACGCTTCCGGGCAGCCTTTAGGAATGTTGTCTCTCCTTCTTGCAAATGGTGTCATCCCCAGGATCTCCCACCAGGACCTCCAGCCCAGAAGATTATCTTCTTGACAGAATGCCACCTTGTGGAGTTGACAGAGGATGCGGGTCCCCAGTTCCCCTGTCAATCATCCATCTACAACTCGAACCTCTCCACAGCCCCCTGTGCTGGGCAGGTACTGTGAAGGGAGTGGTCAGAAGGCCATATCAGAAGGCCTGATTCTGTGAATTGACATCCCTCTGAGCTCCAGCACTGCAAGGAGGGACACCTTGTCACCTGTGCCTCCTGTGTGCCATTAGAGAGATAACAAAACTCTTAGATGCCATGCACTCATTCCTTTCACAATGTAAAAATCCAGACTTCATTCTAGGTCACTGTGCAGACATTGCTGAGTCAGACACTCCATCTATCTGTGTTGTGAGTTTTCATAGCTGTGAATGCAATGCACCATGAGTACTTAAAGACCTTCTCATAATGGTTGAATTTAATGGAGTGAAGTATTACAGAGGAGCTAAGCAGCACAGCACAGTTAACTCAACCTCCAATCCCAGGACTCCTAAAAAGCTACTGGTGGTGAGCCAGCAGCTAGCTCAGAACTTCTTGCTAAGGCTTACTCCTCCAATAGTTAGGACTTTTGCAAGCTTGCTGTCGAATGAACGATGATTTGAAATCAGTCATAGTAGAAATATTTATGCTACAGAAATTAACAAGCTCTCTAAATCAGGGCTAAATCATTTTTATCCCCTGGAGAGCTGGCCCGTGGGCAGGTTGAGAGCTATTAATAAGCTGGCACTATGCCAATTTGCAGCGATGTGGGTGACTTGTTTTTAGAACAAATCCTAGTAATGCTGTAATTATGGACTACTTAGAGTCATGGTTAACTTGGAAAAAAATGCTATGGACTAGATTTTTTTTTAACCTAGAATTCCTAGATTAAAAAATAAGCAAAAAACTGCTAATTAAGTCATGGAAGCAACATTAGCATTTTATAATTAACCTAGAGTCAAAAGATTATTTTTGGATGTCATCCATTAACATTAGTGCAGAAAACAATGGACCGAGTGTTATTTTCCCTCACACATCTATATTTACAGAGTCCACTGGATATGTTGTCAAAACAGGCAAATTTTCTGTATTCTCTACTTGGCTGCAAACTTAATTTCTTCTTAAAGTGTAGAAATATGGTAAGTGGGTAAAGACTCTCACAACCAAGCCTAAGGACCTGAGTTTGATACCTGAAACTCACATGGTTGAAGGTGAGAACTGACTCTTCAAGCTCTTTTTTGACTTCCAAATATGCACTATGACATATGCTCCCCACATACCCCTATACACATCATACTAATGCATATAAAATGCATATGAAAGTATGTTATAAATCCATAGTATGGAAGCTAACAATTATTCCGTCTTCTAGAAGCCAAGCAAATCAAAATCACAGACAAAGCGGCCTTTAACCCCCTCCTTTCCTTTCCCATCACCAGTAGGTGACTGAATGCCACATGGACCCCACTTTTGACCCCCACCTGTGGAACACTATGGAAGCATTTTCAAGGCAAGGTCAATATTTAGAAGTTTTGACGAATTTACGAGTGAAATAGATATTGCAGACTATATCTTCTGATTTCATTGCAAGTGAAATATGTTCACTGTGTAAAACAGACTGTTGAGTTGAAGGGTTCAAATGATGGACAAATCTGACAAAGAAAAGTCAAAGCCAAGGACTACAGGATAGAGAGAAGCAGGGCTGAAGAGATAGCTCAGTGAAAAAGACACTTGTAGGCAAGCCTGGTGATCCAAGTTTCAGTGGTTGAGGAAGAGACCCAACACCTGAAGTTGTTCTCCAGCCACAATTGTGTAGCAGCACCCCCTTCACACATAATAATAATAAAATCATTTTTGAAAGAAAAGCAATTTATCCTTTGAAACACATGCGGTGCCCATATACCATGAAACCACATGGAGGCATAGATAAAAATGTTTGGGAGTAAGTAGTTATCTTAAAAGGTTTGAAAGGGTATGCTTATTTGAATATTTTCAGAGCAGAAAGACTATCTTTTATCAACACTTTGTTTTGTTTTATAAATGCTGAAAATGTTAGATCCTGGCTTTGACAACCAGTTCTTTAATAATAAAACAGAATAAACACTGTCCTGTGAACATTAATGTGTTCTCTTCACTAGCTGATTCTCCCCTTACCGAGAAATAAAGTATTACTGAGCCCCACCCTTCCCCAGATGACAGCAAAGAGCTTATCCTTAGTTATACCTGGGTGAACTATACAAGCAGTCTCCCAGGCTACAACAGTCTCATTCAAAAACATGCAGGGGGCTGGAACAGTCCCAGGCTGGGGTCCTCTGAGGTTTAAGACTTTCCCATCTGAACAGTCTCCTTCTTACAGCTCCTACAAGATTGGTCAGTCCTTACAGAGGGCTTGTGTGCAGATTTCCATATTCCAGAATGGTGGGTGCCAATCCTTCCCAAGGAAGTCTATAGACCTCACTTAGCCTGTGGGTCACAACCCTTTCACAGGAGTCACCTAAGACTATTGGAAAACACAGATATTTACATTACGATTCATAACAGTAGCAAAATTACAGTTAGCAAATGGCAAGGAAAATAATTTTATGGTTGGAGGTAACCACAACACGAGGAGCTGTATTTAAGGGTCACAGCATTAGGAAGGTCAGGAACCACTCCTATAAATATTGGGTTGCCAGACAGACCCCTGGACACCACTCAAGAGTTTAGTCAGTGAAGAACATTCCCCAGCCTATACACCTCAACTAGATGTGCCCTCCTCTGCTTCCCCATGAGCTACTCACTCCCCACCTCCCCCTCATTCCCCACTTCCCCCTCCCACCTTCCCCTCACTCCCCCACATCCTCAGTCTCATATTCCTTCCTGGGAATTTACTCCCTTTGTCCTCTAAAGGCTCAGGAATCAGGGCCTACTTGGCTCCAGACATTCCCTGTGAAACCTTCCTCCTTCCTTTGAGAGCTATAAGAAGGGACCAACACTACTCCCCAGGGGCCCAACTTTTTTCAGACCTCACACTATGCTGCCTTCTATCTGTTTGTCTATGACGTTAACAAGTTTAATAAAGCTCCTACTGACATCAATACCCCCTCAGCCCTAAGCCTGAAGCCTTTTAGAATTGCACTGTCAGGAGGCAAGTTAGTAAGCAAGTCCCTAGGAGTATCAAAGGCAGAAGCATGGAAATACCCTTTCCAGGAGGCTGTGGCCCCACCAAGATTGGCACACGGGCTGTCATTATATGAAGGCTGGATTTTGAAGCTTTTCCCCAACTCGCAGAGTGCTTCTTCGTTCTCTCAAGAGCCTGGATTTGGGGTAACAACCTAAAAGCCTTGTAGAACATACAAACAGAACACTAGCATCCAACTAACCAAAGGCTAAAGATGCTGTCAGAGAGTATCTGAGGTGACATCACATTCTCCACTTTCCCTTAACCATCGACTCCATGTCTCCACTGATGTATTTGGTAAGTTCCCTGATTTATGACTCTCCTTGTTCTGTTACTATAAAAACTGCATCAAACTGTCACCACATTTGAACATGGAAATTGGGATGACCCAAATCCATGTTCCTGGGCCATGGTCACTATTTATATTTAATTCTAGAATGAACCCTTGTCCACTGTCAGGTGGCAGCTGTGTTTTCTGCATTGACAACCAGAAAGACAAGATGAATCAGGTCTGGGGCTTTCATCTATCATGTCAAAGCCAGAAGTCCAGAGCTACCTGACCCCTATCTCATCACATTTGGATCCAGAGTAAACTCCCTCTATGAAGTGAGAGCTATGATTTTGCACTGATACTCATAAACTAAAGAAACAAGCAAGACTGAGAAGCAGAGAAAGTAATGTAGCCACATGGAAACATGGAATAAAGCAGTCCATGGTCCCCCAACTCAATGTTTGTGGATTACAGCAGTATGTTTAGGTATAAATAGAGTACTAAAGTTACCACTAACTAGGCAGTACTGTCAAAGCTCAGGTTAGTCCATCATCATGTAGGCGCTAATTTCTCCCCCAAGGTTGTCTGAGGGAAATTGTCAGAACTGTGTGAAATCTTCCCCCAGGAGAAGAGCGCCCCCTTTGGCTGCACCAGCTTCATCATCTTCCTTTTTCCAGTATGAGGTTCCTGGGAAAATTCCAATTTCTTGGGGTCTATTATTTCAATAGTCTGGTAGCCCAAGGGTACAGCAGAGATAACCTCTTTAAATAGCCTCACCCCTGCCAGAATAGTACTTAGAAATGCTGTGATAAGCATCTATAGAAAAACCAATAATAATAATAATAGGAATAGGAATTTATTATTCAGGAAGAAAGGTTTGATGGCACTTTACAGTGTTATTGCTGGTTTGGGGGGAACATTCTGGCTGTACAGCTTCCTCCAGGAAGGAGAGCAAAGGCTCATGGGACTCAGATTTTAAGAGACCCCTCTCCAGGGTTACAGAGGCAGTAAACAGCTGCTAGGGATGAGGGCTTTGACCAGCATAATGTGTGCTATAGAAAAAAGCTTCTCAGGCCCACCCAGCTGCCTGAAAGCTGCACGGAGAGCCCCAGGCTTGCAGCTTCCAGGAGTCACGTCCATGGAGGATGGGGCTGTCAGTGAGTACCAGCCTTTGAGATGCTCATGCTCAGGTAAGTAACCCCTCACCCACCCACCCACAGGAGCCTCAATAAGCTCACCAAGCCAGAGGTGCTGGTGTGATCGTTATTTCAATCTATGGTGGGTCCTTTGGGGTGGGAGAGTGAGTGTGCTCATAGCACCCCAGGAAAATTTCACACAGCAATACCTCTCGGTGGGGGGGGGTACTCAAATACATAGTATAAATGAGCAATGTTGGCACAAAAACACAGCCCTCACCTCAAAAGGGGGAAGAGTTTTGAGCCAAATGGAGTGACCATGGCCCAAAAACACAGATATAGGTCATGCTAAGTTCCATGTTCCAACAAGGGAACAGTTTAATAAAGTTTTTATAGTAACAGAAAGTTGTAAATCAAGGTGTTTCTCAAGCACCTTGGTAGAGACATGAAATTGACCCTGCTATCTCCTCAGGTGCATTTCATGACAACCTTAGCTTGCTGATTGGTGGGAACCAGGGTCCATTAAGTTAATACATTTCCAAAGGTTTTACCTGATCATAACAAGGATATCAAAGCAGACAAAGTTGGGGGGGAAAGGGTGGCTAAATTTTAATTAGGTTCTGGACTTGCAACATTCTCCCACAATCTCTGAAATTCTAATCAGTTGCTAGACTTGGCAGAAGGTTCAGTGAGGTGTGCAGTTTCTTTC